CGGCCCCGCCCCTCTTCTCCTCGCCGGCCCCGCCCCTCTTCTCGCCGGCCCCGCCTGTGTGCAGGCCACTCACCCGTCTCGCAGGCGATGCCCGTGTAGCCCGCCTGGCACACGCACACCGCGGAGCCGCTGTCTGCCTGGCATTGGCCGCCATTCGCACACTCTGTGGCGTCACATGGAGATTTTGCTACAAGCGCAGAGGGTGGAAGGCGTTGGACTCCTGGCTGTGATGTCCCCTGGGGACTGTCAGGCTGGCAGTGGAGGGCCCTGACCAGGACAGTCCTTACCCACCAGCATCTGAAAGCTGGTCTGAATCGGGTTTATTTCAGCAGACCTGGGTGGAAGGTGGCTGCGTGCGCTGGACCGGAGGCTCAGGGGTGAATGGGAACCAGCTCCCACCCTCCCAGGCCACTCTCATGCTAAGCTGACTGTGACAAGAGCAGTGGTTGCAGAGACGGACTCTGGGGCACTGGCTGCTCCCTGCCAGGTTGGGGGGACATAGCCTGTGATGGAGCCTTGAAGGGTGTGCAGTGCCCAGGGGTGCAGGAGGGGTTTGAAAGGTCCTGGGGTGCAGGAGGGGCTGAGGTGACGGAGGTGACATCTTGCTGCAGGGACAGCCTGTGCAAAGGCACTCAACCCCCCATGACAGTGGGAGTGAGTGGTGCCCCCGTCTCTGTCCACCCTCTGACCCACCCCTCACCAGGGATGCTGGCCTCCCTGACTCTTTGGTGGCCGCTGAAAAACAATACGGGGACCAGATGGTCTGAGCGAGCAGCCCCCCTGGAATTGTGGGGAGCCAGGAGAGGAGGAAGAGGAGGAGGAAGGGGAGGGCCCAGCTCCCCAGGAGGTGTGGCGGTGCTCCAGTGGCTGACTGCCCACGGTGATCCCCGCTCCACCAGACAGAAGGCTGGGCGCCTGGGGGAGGGAGACCTGGGCAAGCAGCACGAATGACCCTATTGGACGCTGCCTGGTGTCCTTGCTCTCAGAGGCTCTGGGGGCTGAGGTGGGTCCTCAGACCAGGAGCCTCAGTGGAGGGTGGGGGTTGGACCCGTGGGAGTTGCTGGAGTGGCCACGAGGAAGCCAGGGCTCAGGGGTCCTGGCTCCAGCCCCAGGTCCTCCTAGGGGCCTCACTGGGCTGGAACATGTGTATCCACACTGCAGCTGAAGACCAGGTGGGTGAAGGGCCAGGGTGAGGGGCCTGAGAAAGGTACTGGGTGCATCGCAGGTGGGGGCTGGATCTGAACCAGCTGCTTCCTAAGAGCTGCTGGGAAGGGGGTATGGCCATGGTTTGGAAGCAGCAAGGGGTCCAGAGCAACCCCAAACCATGCCTAGGCTATGGGGACCCCGAGGGCTGGAGAGAAACAGCTTCCGTTGCTGGGAGCAGCTGGGGTTCAGGGTTCCGAGGGTGCAGGCAGGAGGTGGGGGTTTGTGCCCCGCCCCACCCCACAGCGGGCCTGTCCCACCTGAGAAGCTCCCACGTTCTCATCAGGCCGGGCCTGGGGTGAGAGGGCTTTGATGGCTCCTAGCACACCTGGTGGGCTCTCATCCACGCCCTGTGGCCCGTCAGGCCCTGACCCTGGCTCCGTCTGGAACTGGGCCCTGGCCTGCAGCCAGCAGGCCCGTGGGACCCAAGCAGGCTCCTCTTACCTGTCTCACAGGTGGGTCCCCCGAAGCCATCCGGGCACTGGCAGCTGAAGCTGTTGATGCCGTTTGTGCAGGCCCCGCCGTTCTGACACGGGTGAGAAGCACACTCGTTCACATCTGAAAACAGGGCGCATGGGGCCTCCTTAGTGGAGGAAACAGGTTGGGAGGATCGTCATGCCTGGGGACAAGGGGACAGCAAGCCCGGCTCTCCTGTGCCTCGCTCTGCTCCAGGGGCAGCAGCTGCAGTACTGCCCACCATACTCATGGTCACAGACCTGCTGCATTTGGTGCCTCAGTGGTGCCCCACGCACGTCACACACACCATGGGACACAGACCCTTGACCTTGGGCTCTTGGGGCCACTGGCTGCTCTCGCGGTGTTCCTCCAGAGCCCAGTGCCTCCCAGTGGGCAGTCCCAGCAGTAAACTCACCCAGGTGGCACCTCCTCCCTGTGAAGCCCGAGAGGCAGGAGCAGGTGTAGGAGGGGTTGCCCGTGACGCAGTCGTCGATGCACTTGCCGCCATTGAGGCACGGGCGCAGGGCCAGGCACACGGAGGCTGCGGGCACAGCAAGGGGTAGAGCCGTCACGTCCTCCCTCCCTGACCCAAAGGATAGTCTCTGAGGAATGGCTGTGTCCTCTGCTGGTGGCCGATCGGCCAGGGTTTCACTTCCCAGGTCTGCGCAGGGCGCCCGGTGTGGCTGATGTCTGCCTTCCGCCTGTGTTTCTGGTTGACGTTTCCCTTCCTAAGCTGTGACTGGCTGCCGGTGGAGGGTAGGCCACCCCCAGAATCCCTTTCACCTGCAGCACCTTTCTATCCTATTAATGTGTCAACTTCCAAACTTGTCCCTGCTAAGAAGACAGGGACCCGAGGACGCCCAGCAACACGGGAGACATGAGTACTCCTCGTGGATGAGGGGGCCCCTGAGTGGAAACCAGAGGTGGTGAGGGGTGCCCGCAGACTTGAGGGGTTGCAATCTGGTCTCAGTGCTGCCTCAGACAGTTTCAGAAATTTGGAGTGCCCTGTGCCCCTCGGGTTTCCTTAGGTGTAAAATGAGAGGACTGCACTCAGAGCTGCGGAAGCTGGTATTTCTCCAAGTGTGGCTACTGGCCACCTCCTGGGGTCTCCGAGGGCCACTGACCCCTGTGCGCAGCCCCCTAGGACAGGTAGCCCACAGAGCTCACCTCATGGAGCCCTAGCCCTCTGGAGAAGCAAGGCTACTGAATCTGTGATTAATAAACACAAATTGGCAGGTAACTGGAGCGCTCTAAGGTCTCGGACCTCGTGTGATTAGGAGGGTCCCTGGGAGGGACACGTGGCGTGGCAGTGACACTCTGGGAAGGACCCTGTGGTCCAGAACATCATCAGAGCTGTGGGTGTCTTTTGGGACCATTCCTGCTCTTTGCTTGTCCCTTTCCAGTCACTTAATCACACTGTCACCCAGTCCACAGTGGGGTGGCCACCCTGCAGTGTGTGGCAGCCGGGCGCCGAGCCCTGTTTCCGGACTAGCCTTGCTCATGAGCTAGACTTCCAGCTGTGGATGCAGTGCCTCTCAGGTGTAAGCTGACCCTCCCTTCCTGGTAAAGCTGATGTGTGTAACCCCTGGACTGACACGCACAGGCTCCATCTCCCGGGCTTTCAGTGTGGTGGTGGGCCACCAGCCCTCCCGCAAAGCACCATGTTCCTGAGGGCCTCTGTGGGGGCCAATTTGGAGGGCCCAGCCATGACTGCTTCTGCCTGAGGCCTGGGGCCGTGGTGAAGCAGCACCTATCCATGGAAAAGGGGTCCTTGAAGGGCTGGCTGGATCCTCTTCTGAGGACCCCACTCCTCAGGGCCACAGCCTGCAGCCTCTTCAGGGGAGCACGGACTTGTCCACACCTGCGTCCATGCGTGTGCCCACGCCTGCCTGACACCCACTCACACCGGTGCACACCTGCGCCCATACCTTATTCTTCAACCACAGCCCAAGCCCCTGGCCACTGGTAGGTGACAACCAACCAGACCTCTCTGCCGCCCACCCACATGAGCACTTGACAAACCTATGCCCAGAACCAACGCTGCCCACAGCCTTGGCCCTCCTGGGGCTGCAGGAAGGCCTGCGTCTCAGGTGCCCTCTTACCACTCTGGGGAAGTGGGCGGAATCATTGGCTTCTGGGCTCCCTCACCCCCTAAACTCCAGCCCGGGCCCTTTTAGTGCCGCAGGGAGTGGGCGGGCTCGGCTCCAGGTCTCTCTCCCGGGGCAACATCCCGAACCCCATGTGAGTCCCTCTAGCCCCAAGCGGGGTGCGCGCGCACGCCTGCCCGCTCGCGCACGCCTGTCCTTGCGGGGCCCCTGGGTGCCTGTCCCTACGTGGTGCGCGCGCATCTCTGCCTGCCCTGGTCCCTGCCGCGGGGTGCGCGCCTGTCCCCCTGGCCAGGCTGGATGGGCGCCATCGCGCTGGGTTCGCTTTTGCGGACTCGATGCTCAGGGAAGCAGCCCTTCCCGGTGGCCTCGGTCCCCATCCGCGGGGGTAGGTGCCGGAACCCACCTCACCGTGACCCAAGCTTGGCAGAGCGTCCGCTCCCGGCCGAGCGGCTGAGTCAACCACTTGACGTCCCTCCCTCCATTTGTAAGCAGTCAAGTTTCAGGAGGGGCTGCGACTCGCCCAAGGCCACGCCGTTCTGCCGCCCGTCCGGCTGTCCCCACAGCCATGTGCTCGCCCCTGGCGTGGACTCTCCCGCTCTGCCTGAAGGACCCCTGGGGTCTCTCTCCTGGCCGCCACATTGATGCCAGGTTGTCAAGCCTCAACCCCGGCAGGAAAGGGGAAATGGGGTTCCCAGAGCTCCTGCCTCCCAGGTGGCCCTGGGGAGCACAGGTGCCCCGCCCGGCCCAGGAAGGAGGCTGGGCTCGAAGGTGCGGAGAGGAGGCCCCGGCTTCTCCCCTTTACACCGCAAAGCGTCCTCTCCAGCGGTTTCCTCCCCGTCCCGCTCGCGGAGCCGAGGCTGGAAGGCCTCCC